CTATTCTGGAGTATTCCTCCTGTAGAGGGACGTGCCCGACTTACCTTCAGGGATCCCGAAGGTTAGTCAGGCACGTCCCTCTACAGGAGGAATACTCCAGAATAATAAAATAATGACAAGAACGTCCCCGTAGTACTCTTGATACTATTCTGGAGTATTCCTCCTGCAGGAGGGACGTGCCCCGACTTACCTTCAGGGATACGCTCCAGGCCGAGAAGCGGGGGGGCCGCTCCCTGGCCGCCGCCACGCGCGCCACCAGCGCGGCGCGCGAGGCGACGTGGCGCAGCGCCGCGGCGCGGAGCGCTTCAAAGCACGGCCTCTGTTCCGACGCATGGGGGGGGGTGAACGAGGAGGAGGAGGAGGAGGAGGAGGAGGAGGAGGAGGACGAGGAGGGGGAGGAGGAGGAGGAGGAGGAGGAGGAGGAGGAGGAGGAGGAGGAGGAGGTGGAGGTGATGGGGGGTGGCCCAGAAGGGGGGGTGAAGAAAAGGGCTCTGAATGGGGCTCTTTCGGATCCCTTTAGGCACCAGCTGGCTCCAAAGGGGGCCGTAATCCCCAACTCCACCCGCCTAAGAGGGTTTGGCCAAGACGTGCCGTGGCTTCTGCAAGTCGGCGGCGAAATACGAACCCCACCTTCGCCGATCCACGATTACCGTCGGCCCGTATCATGAGGATGCGCGATAAGGATGCAAGAGCCTTGGGCGCCCATTTCAAAGCTTTCCGAGCGGGGCGAGGCCAACGAAATTGGTCAAGGATGGACCGAGGAGGCGAGAATGCAAGGGTTCCCTTGGGAAGGTTGCCCATCCTTACTGTGTGGATTCACTGTAAAACAACTAAGTGGGCGGACGGGGTATGGTTTGGAATCGTCAAACACATTGCGAAATCCGAGCGCTAATCCCGGCAAGCCTTTAAGAAACCTCCCAGGGTTATCGTTAGCACCGCACCAAGATTTACTATTTTCAGGGGGTCGTTTTCGCAGAGCGATATCTTTAGCACCTCGCACAAATCAAACAACAAAATTCCGTGGCGCGTCGCGCGCCGCGCGACGCGCAAGAAGAAATCCTTGGGCAAAAGGTTGCCTTTCCTAGGACATGTCACGGACCAGCAAAAGATTGCCTCGGGAATCCCAAGGATCCGAGACTCCTAGCAGATGCTAATCGCCCCTCGCATGTCCTTGGGAATGCTGAGGACATGCGAAGGATATGCTCAGGATTTCCTGGGGGCTGCTTAGCGGGAGCTAGCAGGGCTCAGCAGGGCTTAGCTTGGCCCCGAGCGCTCTCTGCGGGCTCCTCGGGTGCCGAGGTAACGCTTCCAGGGTGCCTGATGCGCTATACTTTCACCGGATGAGGGGGGGGGTTCTTAAAGGCTTGATGCGGTTACCCCCGCCTCCCACCGATTCAGGATGATCGATGGTTGGTGGAGGTAAGGTTCGGATGTCGCCGCTGCCTATCCGCCTGTCTGACGCCTGTGGGATAGGGGTTGGGTGGGTAGTTTGGCTTACAACTGTCGTGGCTTCTGCAAGATTTGAACGATCTCGACTCGAATGGTCTTAGGGGGGGCGAAAATGAGAGGAGGAAAATCTACCGATACCGCAACCCTTCACTCGTTTTCGGCAGATTGGCCCTCCTGGGAGGTCCTCATGGCCAAGGCCGGATTAGCTGCGAAATTTTGGTCAGAAGGCACCCCCAGAGAGGTCCTAGAAGTAACGATATCGGTACCTTTCGGGGCCTCCCACATGAGCGGCGGGAAGAAACGGGTCTTTCGCGAGACGGCATAACGACCTCATGCGGTGGCTTACGCGGTCCGCCAGTGCGGTACGCTGCCAGTGTGGACGCAAACGATCCCGTTTTCTGCCGTCGCTCCTGGAGAAACGTGTTCCGATCATTCGCAATAGCGCCCACGACTGGCCCTGGCCCAGCCCCTCCACCCCCGCCTGCCGGTCACGATTCGCGCCCGCGCCGTGTGGGAACGCGCTGTCCTCGGACATTCCCAGACGGCGCCGGCGAATCGTGAGGTGACCGGACCCCTCCCCCCGCCCCTCGGCTGGTCACGCCCGTTACAGTGCGGGCGCGGCCGCAAGGAGCCCTCACAAGGAACCCAACCCTGAGAACCCGTGCGCGACGTGCACCTGGGGGGAAACCCGGAGCACCCTGAACGCAGCAGCTCCGTCAACGGCCGCGGGAAGTCGCCGCGCAGCGCGCGGAGCGAAGAAACCCAGCATACCCTGACGAAAAGCATATGGTTTCTTGATGCGCGCCCCCACTTGGCCGCGAAGGGATCACACACGACATGCGTGCCCTGGCTCTTGCACGAGGGGGGGCGAGGGCTAGGCGAAGCGAGGTGAGGGGAGGGTTCTTGGAGCTATCCTGACCATCGTGACGGCACACGGACAAGGAGGGACGCGGGGGGGGGGGTCGATGAGCGAACGAACGAAAGACGATGAAAATTAACTGCTTCGATCTCTAGAACATAACTGTGCAAGAAAATAAAAAACAATCTCACCCAGGCTCGGCGTAGATAAAATCGGACGATCGCGCCGCATCGTCGATGCATCCCCGATGCATTAGCGATGCATTTCTGAGGCATCGGCGATGCATCGGCGATGCGTCGGTCGGCGGGGGGCACGACGAGCTCCACATCGAGCTGCATTGCCGATGCGTTGGCGATGCGGCACGACCATCCGAACTTATTAGGGAAGCCTGGATCGAGTTTCCTTGGGTTCAGCCCCCGTTCGTGCCAGCACAAGAAAAACAGCGACGCACACCAGAACGAGCGTAACTCCCTGAGCCAATGTGTTCGTGCACAGTGGCTTCGCAAGGCATCTGGAACTGGACTGGCGGGCGGACTTTGATTTCAACTATCTGTCGAGCACGTGCGACGTCACCGAAAAAACGGCGCAAGCCCAGCTAGCACTCATGAGGCCCGCACGCACCAGCCAGGCGAGCTGGGTAAGGCGGCGAATCCTCATATCCCCAACGCATTGACAAATAACAACATGGAGACTTGTCGTTGGCTGCAGCCACGTGGCAACAGGGCTCCGGGGCAATTGAAAAACAATTCGGGGTGGGAAACCAGGATTCGGCAAAAGGTCGGGATATCCAAGGGCCCCATAATGAACAACACAATGCAGCGGATGCTGTCAAACGGAACCGCCTTCAGGCTTGCTCAGCGATGCTGGGAATCAGATCGGGACATGCTGCCCGTGCGCCGAAAGCCAAGGCGCACCAGCTCGCACAGGTGCCTGGATACACAAAATGTATGGAGCAACGCCACAAACAACGCGCATACACAGTACGAGGTCGAAGCTCACATGGTCACGCAAAATGCCGCAGCAGGGTTCATTGCAATGAGCTTAAATCCGGCGTGGAACAACGATGTAAAAAGTGCAATACTAAAGAACGGGAGCACTGTGCCCGCTAACACGCATGGAAAATTTCGGAACTTGAAACGGTGGGACGGGAAACGCATGCGCGTTCAGAACCACAAAGCCCGGCGCGTCTCATCCCGTGTATTCAGTGATGAAGTGATACCGGATGGAGAAAATGCCAATGTAGAGGAGCGCAAAAGGTTACATACCTGGCGCTGATATGCTTGTTTTTTGAAGCGGAGCAACAGGGAGAGAGAGAGAGAGAGAGAGAGAGAAAGAGACAAAGTGAACGCAGGGAAACAGTCGGGGCAACAACCGGCGGCACGGGCGGTCGGGGACAGGGAGAGAGAGAGAGAGAGAGAGAGAGAGATGAGAGAGCAGCCGCTGGGGCAGTTAGCTCCCGCACCCTTTCCCTCCTCTTTTTCATTGGCAAGACACCACAGCTTCGAGGCCGCTCCCGGCCCCCAGCGGCGGGCGCAGCGGCGCCGCCGAAAACAAGGACAGGCATTGAAAAGGAGTGGGCGGGCGGGACAAGCGGTCCCACACTTGAGCCCCAAACAGCGGTAGGTAGGCGGCACGCGCGCGCGCGCGAGGGACACGAGGAGGGCCAGCGGGGAGTCGAACTTTGCTTCGCCTTCGCGAATCTGAATTACTTCTCTTCCTCCTCCCCCTCCCACTCCTCCTCCTCCTCCTCCTTTTCCTCCCCCCCCTCCTCCTCCTCCTCCTCCTCCTCCTCCTCCTCCTCCTCCTCCTCCTCCTCCTCCTCCTCCGCATCCTCCTCCTCCTCCTCCTCCTCCTCCTCATCCTCCTCCGCCTCCGCCTCCGCCTCCTCTTCTTCATTACCAGGGCACCACAGCTTCGAGGCCGCTCCCGTCCCCCCAGTGTGTGCGGGCCGCTGGATGCGCAGGGTGCGCGTGCGGACCCTTTTCCATCCGGGCCCCTCGTCGTCATCGTCATCGTCCGCGTTCTCGGCCGTTCTCGGCCGCCTCGCAGCCCCCCCCTCCTCGCCATCGCTCGGACGTCCACATCCCGTGCATGTGTCGGTTTCGTGCGTGTTTTTGTTTGCTCGATGGTCCAGGATCGTCCTCAATGGTTCTCGCCGAGAAAAAATGCACACGTCCGAGCGATGCCAGGCCTCCGGCCTCCACTTTTTTTTCTGGAAGGTCAGATGGGGAACGGGCGGACTATGGCAGATGGGCGCGCGCGTCAAGACGCGCCCAAATCATCGCGCCAGACAGGAGCGCATAGAAGGGACATGCGTGGTCTCGAACATTGCAAGCATTGGCGCATGGGCATTTCCATAAACCGACACGGTCGCCCGTGCCAACCAATTGCGTTCAAAATGTGCTGACATTCGAGAATGCACAATGCTGGACATCGTGTCCCGATCATCGAAAAATCGACTCTCCATAGTCCCCAAATCTCAACATGAGGCCTGGGCCTGCAACCCGTGTTCTCTGGACGCGCTCGCAAGCAGACCCCCGCCGTCCCAATTTCTATCGCGCCCACGTGCTACGAAATTCCCGTTGGCATCAAAACGGTGTTCGCTAAGGGCGCTGAAGCTCCGATCCCTCTGGCTGAGGCATGCCGAAGAGGCATTCAGACAGATCACTAACCGCTTCGTGCAATCTGCCCGTCAAGCAGCGCGACAGCACGCTGCACATGTCTTTCGCCCCTGAATCTGCAGCTCCCCCAACTCCTCGGAGAAGTTGGTATCGTTGAGCCCCCTGCTCGCCAGGGCCGCCAGGAGGGTGTACTCTTCGTCGGTGCTCATGCTCGAGACGTCTGTGTAGTCGCACAGATCGAACTCATCCTCCCCACCATTGGGAAAGAAGCCTCGGGGTCGACGCGCATGGCGTGAAGTTTGCTCGTCGGCAACGTCTCCTGCTTGGTTATGGCCAGCTCTCTCAGCGCCCGGGTGGTTGCCGAGTAGTCTCCCCTGCCGCGTGCCAATACTCGGACCAGGCGGGCACGATGATGATCGAGGGAACTCCTTTTCCAACCAACAAATTATTCGAATCATCTGGCACTGGCATTCCTTGACCTGACAAGCGGTCGAACTCAAGATCTGGAGCTGCCGTGAACTCTGCCGAGGACTCCGCGGGGCGACGTTGAAACTGCAGTAAACACTCACGAACCGTTTTCCCTTGTTTTCGCAACTCCTCTCCGGTCACCTGGTAGGACGATACTCCAAAATGGAAGAGACGCTTCTTTATGGAATCAACACCTCGTCCGTGAGGTGTTCCACTCTTCCATGCAAGTCCTTGGGAAGAACATTCATCAGTCGATCCGCTCGTCGCTGCTCGGCCACGTCGGCGTCCTGTCCCCGTCGGACAACTCACCAGCGCCAGAGCTTGGCACCCCACCTGTCGAGCAGGGGATCGACCACAACGTGGTCATGCCCGAGAGTTGCATGCCTCCTCGAAGCCCATGAAGATTCCGCAGGGTGCTCCGCAGATCTATGGAACATTCTCCGTCTGCTCCGTGAGGCCGACGAGAAAGCGACTTTGGGGCAAGCCGCCTGAATTCTGCAATCGATCCCCCTGCTCCAACCTGGTCCCCTCATATGGCCCCCTCGCCTGCCCAGGCTCCGATGCCACCGCGCAATTTGGGGGCTCCCCGCCCTTAGTGGGCCCTGGAGACGACAAGGCCGTTTTGTTTACCGGTTCTTTTTTGCCGTTTTTTTGCCAGTTTCGACGCCGTTTGTTTACCGGTTCCGTCGCCGTTGTTTGACCGGTTCCGGCTCCGGTTCCAATCCTGGAGCCGTTTTTGTTGCCGTTTCTGGCCGCCGTTTTTTTTTGCCGCTTCCATCTTCAAGGGAATTATTTTTGGAAAAACGGCCCTGCTGTTTCCGGGGCCCACAAAGGGCATAACCCTCCACAGGAGGACTATCCAAGAATAGTGAACACTTCTTCTGGTGACGTTTATCCATTCTGTCCGACTGTGTTTGAGTATGCATTGACCTCTGTGGGCCCCGGATACGGCAGAGCCGCTTCCAACGACCAGGTGAAACGGCAGGCCCGTGTCACCTGGTCCCCTCTCCTGGCCCCCTCGCCTGCCCAGGCTCCGATGTCACCGCGCAGTTTGGGGGCTCCCCGCCCGCTGGTGGCCTCAGGAGCGACGGCGGCCCGCGGGCGACCGCCGCCGCCGCCCGGGCGCGCACGGCGGCCCAAGCGGCCCACCTGCGGCGGGAAGGCTCCCGGGGCCCCCGCACGGGGGCCGCAGGCCGGGGAGGGCCACCCCGGCGCCCTTCTGCAGTTGCACAACATGAGTACTACTCTCCTCTTTCCCCCGATGACGTCCTGCAGATCTCCGGCCCCCCTCCACCGTACTGTTGTCTTCTCACACAGGGTTCTCGGGGAAAGCATGTGCTCTTCTATTTACCAAACTGTTGTTCCCGTTAACGCGCTGGCCTCATTTTCGGCTGGTTCCGAATCGTGCTCCCGCTGAAGCGCTGGCCTCATTTCCGAGCTTCCGCTCGTCCCGAATCGTGCTCCCGCTGCGGCGCTCGCGTCATTACTTCCGAGCAGGTTCCGAAATCTAGAAAATGCGCCCCCCCCGAAAAGAAACATCGGAAGTGATTGTACATTCGGTGTCGATTCGTGGTTTTCTGTGCCGCAGAAGCCCCCCCCCGTTTGGGGCGTCGCCAAGCCATACTATGTCATGCTACGCGTTGATCTTCAGCACCATTCTATGCCACGAATGCTACGCCACGCAGCGACATCCGATTGCACGACTAAAGAAGGAATCTACGCCATGGTAAGGGATGGGTGGGAGGGGTAGGACGTCAGATATGACGCGAGCGCACCTAGCTTGTGCCAACCCCTCCCACTTCCTTCCTCCTGCTCCTTCCGTCCTTCCGCCCCCTCTGTCCTCCTCCCTCCCTCCTGCCGCCCCCTCCCTCCCCCAACAAAACCCATGGGGGGGAACCCGAAGGGGTCCCCACCCCTGTCACCAACAAGGGATCGACTGGAGTTGGGGTTGTGGTCCGGGGTCTCCAGCAACGAAAAAGCCACCTCCCCTCTCCTCCCCCCTGTTCCCTCCCTCCCTCCCCCTCCAGCAGAGTCCTCTCCCCTCTCCCTCCCTCTTCCGTCCTCCTCCCTGCTCCGACTCCTCCTCGCACCTCCTCGTTCCTCCGACCCCTCCCCGCTCATCCTCCCACCCTGGCATCATCCTCCCTCCTCTTGCTGCCCCATCCTTCCTTTTCCCTCGTCTGCCATCCCACTCCCTCATTTGCCTCCTCCCTCCCACTCTCTCCTTTCTTCCCCCCGTACGCCTCCTCCTTCTCATGCTCCTCACCCTTCTCCTCCTGCTCCTCCTCCTCGTCCTCCTCCTTGTCCCTCGCCTGCACGGCAGCCCGCGCATGGCGCCCAGCCGGCGTCAGGGAGCCGCAGACCGGGGGAGGGTGACCCCTAGCACGAGGCACATTCCCGAATGAACGACGACTTATCTACGTCGACTGACTTCGAATGTTTGGACGCCCGAAATGGGTACGGAAGGATGCAACAAAAAGTTGAGGAGGCCCCCCAGGACACACAAATAAATACACACAAATGAAAATGTTACCCATATTTCCCAACCATCCTGTGGTGTTGGGTCCTCGTTTTGAAGAGACGGTCCAGGCGTTCCTCTCCTATTCTTTGGACGCCCGAAATGGGTACGGAAAGAATGGGTACAACGCCCAACAACAAATGTTGTCCCAAACCAACAGCGGCCGCTGTTGGGCAGGCGGCCTTCTGTCTCGAATGGGCACAGGCCGCGGCGGCGTGGACAGCGAGCCTTGTTCAAAATGAACAGGAACTGCTGTTGGGCAAAGTACCCATTCTTTCCGTGCCCATCGCGGGCGTCCAGATACGTCGACTGACTTCGAAATAGCCTTTGTTTGCATGATCCGCGCCGGCGCCGTCCGGGAGTTAGCCCATCCCTAAGCATTCCCAGACGGCGTTGGCGCGAATCGCGACGTGACCGGCGCCCACGAGGGCCAGGGAGTGACAATTACTCGAGGCGGAGATCCCTGAATGTGCATATCATACTCTTGCCACGTTTCGCTGAGGAAATCTGTCTGCGAGCTCTGGGTGTTGGAGCGACTTCGCGGTATCATAGCTACATGCACCACTCAGGCATGCGAAAGGCGCCATAAGGAGTCGGACGCCCACTCGATGTGGCGGACGAGAGAAAAGGGGAAAGAGAGAAAGAGGAGGAGACCCGGGGCCCAGGTCTGGGGATCACCAGTCCAACCCGATCCACGGAGGGACTGGGCCAGCACAGCCAAAGGCCTCCAGAGGCCGAAGGGAAAAGCTGAGAAAGGGAAGAAGGGGGCAGACTAAATTCCTTGTTGGCTTTGCCCAGCGTGTTAGATTACCCTTTTTGGCATGTATTGCGGGGGCAAGCCTGGGAGGTCACTCGCCCGCGGGCGATGGGGCAGTTCACACCCTTGCGCACGCATTCGCAACGCGTACAGCATCGGATCGGATCGGATCGGATCGCCTGTGCGGGCATGCACCTGGGCCCCATAAGGGCGAGGCGGATGAGGCCATGGCCTCGCATGAGAGGCAGCGCGCGTCGGAGGCTTGCTCAGGATAGTGCCTACCTCACGAGTTGATGTTTCATTTGTTCCCAGATCCGCGGGTGCAGCGATGCGAATACATCCGACGCGACATTGAGTGGCGCACATCGTCGAAGACCATCGTCGCGCCCTCGTTGGGGAACCGCGTTCCTGCTGCGAACGCACGAGTTGAAATGCCAGCAGAAGTCTTCATGGACGTTCATGGGGGAATATGGCGACCAAGCGGCATGCAGCCGTTGTAGAGGTGCGCAACTGAGGATGTAGCGCCGCGTGGATTAAATCGCATCGAAGGCTGGAATGCCGAAGGTCGCGCTCTCGGTGGGAAACTGCGTGTCTGCCGCGAATGCACACGTTGGAAAGCCAAGAGAGGAATCCGTAGACGTGCGAAGAATTCTACGCCCACCAACTGGCCCTAGTTGTCGCTGTCGAGGTGCAGGGTGAAAGCACACGCAGGCGATTCGTTGACCCGATGTTGACGCGAGTGCGGCAATATGTGAGTGGCGTCGTTCTGGCCATCGCTCGGACGTCCATTACCTGTGCTTTTTGTCGAGTTCGTGCGTGGTTTTTCGCCAAATGATCAAGGATGCTCATCGATGGTCCTCGCCGAAGGAAAAATGCACACGTCCGAGCGATGCCAAGAGATTGGAGATCCTTGTCGCCACCGGTGGCTCTAGCTTGTGTGTGCATGCACGTGCCGGCCTCCGTGAGCTGCCCGCCAGACGTCGTTTGGGAATCGCTGTCATCGGTGGTGGTTTTGGCATGCTCGCCATCGCTCGGACGTCCATTTCCCGTGCATTTTTCGGTTTCGTGCGTGTTTTGTTTTGCGCGATGGTCCAGGATCGTCCTCAATTCAATGGTTCTCGCCGAGAAAAAAATGCACACGTCCGAGCGATGCCAGGAGTGTTGGCCTCCGTGAGCTGCTCGCCAAAATTGGTCGCTATCGTCAATGGGAGGTGCGGGGGGTGCCCTCCCCATCTTGCATTGAGCGGGGTCTCTGGGGGGGGAGCTAGTGGAAGCTCCCCTTTCCGCGTAGAGCGGGATCTTCAGGGGTGCTGTTTCAAGCCCTCCCTTACGTATGCGTCGAGCGGGACCAGCAGGGATCAGCAGCGGGGTTCCTGGAAACGTAGCCAAGAGCATCTCGAACCCGGACGGCAGACGGGACGGGGGAGGAGCAAGAAAGGGAAGGAGCAGGGAGGGAGGGGGAAAAGAGACAGGGAGCAGGACACCAGGGAAGGACAAGGGGGGGAGGAGGGAAGAAGAATGGGAGGAGACAGCGCCGCGCCTCAGGCAAGCGACGTGGCTGAGACATTTGCGCACTCTGCTCTGAGAGCAAACAGGGCCGAAGACAAGTCTGGGGGGGAGAGAGAGAGAGAGGGGGGGCAAACCGCCCGAGACATCCCGAACATTTGGACGCGAATCTGGGGGTGTCCCCACCCTTGGCGGCTCCCCCTCGGGGT